GGCGCGCGCCCCGGCCGGCCCCCTCCCCAGGAAAGCAGGCGCGTCAAGGAAAAGCAGGAACAAGCATGAAGCTATGGGCAGGGAGACCATGGGGACATGCGAGACGAGACCTGTCCCTCGCCCCCGTGAGAACAAAGACCCCGTCGGTACTTACTTCCCCCTGGCTTTGCCATTGGTTACCTAGGTGAAGGTTACATGTAGTGCCACTGCCCCTCCATGCCCATATTCATGCCCATTCCACTCATAGGTCCTAGAGGGAGATAAAAAATCCAAGAAGATGCCGGAAAATGAGCAAAGTCAACAGAGAGTGCCGAAAGACCCCTTTCGCAAACACGCGAGCAACCACGGTCACCACTCCGTGCGGGCGCTACCGGGGCCTTACCTGGCGCTCTGATGCCCATGTGCTGCTGCCCGTCCATCACGAAGCCTCCCATCGGCTGGCCGTCGGGGTTGTAAGGTGTTCCTTGACTTACTACAAAAGCGCAGAATGGTGCTTTTTACTACGTGCAAAGCGGTCAAGGCCGTCTCGCTGCGCGCGGTCAAGAAGCGAACCCCCACCGCGGGCCCAGCGTCTCAGCGTGAGGACCACAGAGACGACCATCAATGTGGGCTCTAACGGGGGGGAGGAAAAAAAAAAACCCATCTACTTTTCCAATTTAGCGGATGGACCAACGAGCTTGCATACCGGTGGCTTTGTTTCCTACTGAGAGTTTTGAAATAAAGTTAGCGATACGAAATAGCGAGCCAGGATGAGCCCCTGCTCCAGCTGCTGCTGCTGCTGACGTCAATGCAAAGACCTGCATAGGAGCCGAATTTTATGGATCGAATGGCCACGCTGAAATCTCAGTGTGTTAAATTACACTTGCGTGCATTTATAAGAGCAGGACCTGAACATGTGCATGGCAAATATCTACCTCTAATGACAAAATAACCAGATATACTTGAGGAGAAAGCATTGCCCAGAGGCATCTTGGACAACAAGTGATTTTGATAGTTTGGCAACAAGAGTCGGGAAACGAAAGCAACTCAGAGTGATGTTATTATTCCTCACCGGTAAATACCCACACAGAGCCACAAGCCAAGACTCCAGGAAGAACTGGCATGTGAAACTTATGTCTAAATAAAAAAAAAAAACCCTCAAAGGAAAACCAAAACACTCGGAGATGCCCCAAGACAGATATTAAAAGGAAGAGACTAGAGACAAAAGACTCAGATACAAGTACCACTACCTGAATTCTGGGTTTTAACTGTACGTTAAAAGCCAGCTTCAGAAGTAAGCTGCCTTGGGTTATTAAAGCACATAAAGCTCTACCTCACTGAACGTCTTTGAACTTTACTGAGTCCCACAAGCGATTCTGACCCCTTTGCCCTTTTGACAGGTAATAAAGTTTACAGCAATTCCACACCAAGCCATGCACCAGGGAGTGGTCACAGGAGCAGAGAGAACTGGGAAGGAAAACTCCAAACCGACACAAATACAGATGACATTAATTCCAAATGTGTACGGAAAGTCCGGTCATTGAGCAATTTTAGTTTCTTTTTCAGATTTTAAACGTTTCTTTCCCCATACCCCCCCCCAAATATTTCAATCATGTTAAAATGATTAGTGTTGTAATGAAACAAAGCTGGTTTTATTTTAATTGTCAATCACTCCCAGCATTCATTTCTCATTTATTTACCAGGTAATGGACCTCCCGGTGAATGGCTTGAGGATGGTTTTCGCCCGCGTGACTTGAATACAGTTACTATGGGGGACTTGCCTGCTCGATTGGACTGGTCTATCATGGGCTGAACTATTCTTCTTCTAGCATTAATAAACCTGCAACAGAAAGAGGAAAGCAAGTGGTTATTTCAGGGCAGCGTTCCCCGCCGGCCCCAAGGCTTCGCCGGGAGCGAGGGCGGCCGCGGGGCTCTCCGTTGGTCTGTGCGCGGATTCAAATACTGCAAAACCTGTAACCCCTGATGACCTTTGAGAGCGCGAGCTTGGGGTTTCCGAGCTGATTTATGTTTGCCTGCTTTTACCACAGTTGGACACTTCCATTTCATCTTTTCATGGGGGAATTAGCCGAGTTTGCAGGAAACAATACCCGCACCGCTCTTTTCAATCCGGAATGGGGGACAAAAAAATGGGTGAAGATAGCGAGATGTTCGCCAGGGCATCTGCTACCTCCCCCTAATTAGTGACATTTCTGGCTTATGTTCCCTGGCTTCTTTCTTACAATTTTTTTTTTATCAAAACCTTCCCCTACCTCTTGCAAACCTAATTCTATTTTAATGCCCACTATTAAGATAATGAACTGTGATGGCAGAGCACCATCAAATGAGGGAACGTCTGGAGTTTTATCACCACTAAGTCACACTGCTGGGGACTTCAGAGCAATGCATTCCTCGTAGTGATTTGGGTCCCCCCCCCCCCCCTTTCTTTATGCAAAGTCTGAGGGGTCAAGGCGAGGTCATAGCTTTACAGTAATTGAATTTATAATCCTGTTTTCTCCAGCTAGGCCTGACCATTTACAGCAAACATCTTGTTAAACTGTAATTACTGGACTACTGAAAATTCCCCACAAACAATGAAAAGCAGATCTTTTGAAATAAAAAGTAGAGTCGTTTGCAAAAATACTCATCTGCAGCCCTACTCCTTGCATTTTTTTAGCTCTTAACCTCAGTTAGTCTCGTAACTGTTATTTTGGGGGAAAAAATGTTCAGAGTAAATTTTGAGCAAAACAGAACATCGAGAGAGCTCACAACTCTCCGTACATAGTCCTCATGTCATTAAAATCCAAAGTTACAGAAACATTGTCAGGAAACCTGTCTTAGGAACGTCTGAAGAACTCCTGCCGTGGCTTCACTAATCAGAAAACACAGTAAAAACCATTTGGAAAAAAACGTCCCTCACAATTTTTACTATGTCACAGAGAAGTCTTCATAAGCAGCCTCTGCTGCCTTAAAAAGAGATAAAAATTGTAGGGGGGGGGGGGAGGGGTTCTCACCTATTTATTTGCAAA